AATCTCGATCTCGCGTAGTACATACACTATTGTCTCCTGTTCCGTAGCGCGGGGTACAATCTCAGGTAGCAGTTCTCTTGAACATCCCCCCTCCCCCTTAACTCCCCTGCCCACAAAAAGCCTTTTAAAGACAGGAAGAAAAACTGCCCTTCGCTACCTAACTTAAGAACTCAAAGAAAAACCAAATCAACAGCTGCAATAATCGTTCTCTCATGTTTTGTCAGTCTTCTCATGTATTTAGGCACGTGATTTGTGAGAGACTAGTGTGCAAGTATTCTCGTAATCAGTGACGGATCCAGACCTTTACATAAGGGGGAGGAGGGCGGTCATCCAGACCCCGAGATCGGGGGTGGGGGGGTGGGGGGGTGCTGGTCTCAAAAAAAAATTTTCGGCCCTTCGCGACCAGTTTGGTCTAAAAATAAGGGGGCGGGGGCCGGCTCCCGGGCCTCTTCTCTGGATCCGCCACTGGTAATAGCACTCGTAACCTCGAATTGACAGTGTCAATAATTAGAGAATGTGGCCTTGAATTACACAGCTCCATTGAATGTTTTATGTCAGTGATATTAAATTAGTAATAGAGTCCCAAGAGGACATTGTTTCTAAACCTCATGGATATAGGAACTTTGATATTACCACGTATCATAGATCCTAGAGGTTACATAGTCTTAAGCCATCTATTCTTCATGTCCCTGTTGGAGATGAATATCAACTGTGGCCAGTCAATATGAGAAACGTCTCAGGTATACCTCGTTTACACCGATACATAACTGCATATAAATTTATTTCTTTTTTTCTGTTTTAGCTGGAGTGTCGCAATTTCTTTTTGCCATTTTCCCAGTCCGAATATTATGAAGCTTTTCGAGTGTGACTCTCACACAAAGAACATTTGAATGTTTGCGTTAACTAATTAAGTAAGCGTTGCTGTGAACGGAAGATATGCGCCTGATAAATAGGACGCGCCGCAAATGAAAAAGATCCTGGTAAAAGACCTCATTTCCTGAGCCCAGGATCGGACAAGGTCGTTATTCAGGAACTGTTGAGTAAAAAAGACAATTTTATATACAAGGTTAGACAGTCCCTAAAAAGCTGTCAATCACTTGTCCGCGATATAAATTTCCTGCATCTTTGTTTAGGCCGCACGAGGCACGTTGTTTCTCTTGTCCCAGTTTGCTGGAAGCATGCGGCTAATTCCCGCGCAACAGCTTGGCGAACACAGTGGGGCGCATGAGTCTGGGCACGACTGTCCAGGACAACTTAGAGGAGCGAGACCTGGGGAGGGTGGAGCCTGGGGGACTGGATTTGGAGCCTACAAAAAAGAGGGACATATTAAAGTTTGGAAGATATTTAACTAACATCCCCACGGAAGTGAATAAATAGGTACAACGCAAGTAGAAATATAAAACCAAATTCATACAAGTATCACTTGAACGTTGGTCAAGAGTTACTAATTTTGTGCCAGCAAATGGAACCTCGCATTATTTACTGTAGGATTAGTATTACTTACCACATGATTATTATTACTTACCATAGGATTGGTTTTGATCACCATGGGAGTAGTATTACTTACCATAGGATCAGTGTTGATCACCGTAGGATTAATATTACTTGCCATAGGATTGATATTGATCACCATGGGGTTAGTATTACTTGCCATGGGATTATTATTACTCACCATAGGCTTAGTGTTGATTACCATGGGATTAGTATTACTTGCCATGGGATTAGTATTACTCACCATAGGCTTAGTGTTGATCACCATAGAAATAATATTTCTTACTATAGGATTTGTATTACTTACCATATAGTTAGTATTGCTCACCATAGGGTTAGGTGGCACTGCTCCATAAGGGAAGCCTTGCTGAGGAGGCACTGGGGCAACTGGTTGTGGTTGTGGTGTCATGTAAGAGGAACAACAGGAGAAATCACAAGATGGAGCACACGACATCGGACAGGCACCTGGACATGTTGGCTCTGAAGGAGGAGACCGTTTACAGTTAGCTTAGTTAATTAGGTGATGCAATGAGTCTAGGAGTAGTCCTGTCACGACTGAAGAATGTGCATGCCAACAATCGCCGTTAAAGAAAAGATATCGCAAAATAATGTAATTTTATAAAATACTGAAAACTAAACAGTATCATGCAGAGCTTTCAAGTTAGATCTACCTAACATGNTTGTATTACTTACCATATAGTTAGTATTGCTCACCATAGGGTTAGGTGGCACTGCTCCATAAGGGAAGCCTTGCTGAGGAGGCACTGGGGCAACTGGTTGTGGTTGTGGTGTCATGTAAGAGGAACAACAGGAGAAATCACAAGATGGAGCACACGACATCGGACAGGCACCTGGACATGTTGGCTCTGAAGGAGGAGACCGTTTACAGTTAGCTTAGTTAATTAGGTGATGCAATGAGTCTAGGAGTAGTCCTGTCACGACTGAAGAATGTGCATGCCAACAATCGCCGTTAAAGAAAAGATATCGCAAAATAATGTAATTTTATAAAATACTGAAAAGTAAACAGTATCATTCAGAGCTTTCAAGTTAGATCTACACAACATGTCTCTCGATTTAGAGTGTCCCTGCAAGTTTTCGACAAATCCAGAGAATTGGTTAATTTAAGGTAAGGATTAGAAGTCGAGGAAGGGTAAGAAAGGTGAGTCGCATTTCAATTCTTTGATGTCAAAAATATCTATAATTCTGACTCAATATAAATAAACCATCCATATTCCTCGAAGTTGTCGCGCGGCCGATTGATGGTACACATGGTACACCACTTTTCTTCTGATTGTTTGCCCCTGTTTTTCTAAAAATGATCTAATATGGACTTTCTTCAAGCATCTGTAGGAAAGATACTCTGAAAAGTTAACGTAATTCGAGTTTCGAGATAACTCGATAAAAAAAGCATCGAAACTGTACGAAAAACATTTTGAGGCGGTGAAAAGAAAGCACCATTTTGGGACCCTCTCTATGGTTTCCCGTGGGAGGTGAAAATACAAAGTTATACCAGGGGCTCTCCTGGTTCTACTGTACCCGGAGGGGATGCCATCATCGCTGCTGCTGGATCCGGATTTTGGTATCCACCCGCATAAGGTGAAGGTGGTTGCAGGTCCTGCGCCGCCGGTCCTTCTGTTGGCTCCGGTGGAGAGGCCAGTTTGGGGACTGGTACCCTCTGAGGTGATGCGACTGGTTTGACATGATGATCTTTAGCAGGCTTTTTCGGGGCAGGGTGAGAGTCATGGAATTTATACGTGGGCAAACAGCATTCAAATCTGTGACAGGAGACAGGCTATAAGTTACCAGCAGTGGTAAAACACCTACGCCCTTATTGTTTTTTCGTGTGTAAGTAACGTCTACGCTTGCATCAATTTCAACCTCGTCCCTTTGGCATATTCCTTTACAAAACGAGAGGCATGATGTCCAGGGACCGGCGCCCGATTTCGTATACCCCTTCCATTGCCCCGGGAAATAGGTTGCATCAATTTGACTCTTTGAAAATACTACCACTGACATCGCTTTCCGGTTAACAAATTATTTTCTACGAGTTTTGATTCTTCTAGATGTCAATGCGTCACCTAGAGATAGCCCAATACAGATAATTGTCTCCTCGTGCACTTAAGAAAAGAGAAGGGGGCTGGAGCCGAAATGTGTCCCGCAATTGTTTCTGGGATGGTTACTCAGGACTTGCCAGTCAGTTAGGGGCCCATTTTCTCCATGTAGTCCTTAGTAACAGCCCAGACGTCTTGCAAAAGTTAACGCTGCCTAGTTTTTGTCCCTCATGTGCTTGGGACTTTTTGCGGTCCCCAGCTACAGGAAGTGAACAGGCGGGAAGTATTCACAGGATGATAATAATCATGGATTCTACATTTATCTTAACATTTTTCTAGTTTAGACAGTATAGTACCTGCATGTTAAAAAGTCGTGTCGTAGAATAATTTTGTACCTAAGCGCAATTAATCTTTCACAAAAAAGGTATCTTTAAAATTTTAAGACATTTTCCCTTAAAATGTTCATTTCATTGTGCTGCGTGCATGTGATCTACTCCTATACTTTGGGAGTACATGACTTACTTGCATATAGGCTTGCATAGTTTTTGGCACGGACGTACACACAAAAAGTTTGTCTTTCCGGCAAGCTTCTTCAGGTCTACGGCAGGTTTCTTCTTTGGTGGCGGGGGTTTCTTTTCGGCTGCGACCTTCTTAGGAGAAGTTGAAGTAGCAGGAGAAGCTTTACTGCCTAAATACACTGGCCGAATACTCAAATTCAAGGCTTGGGAGCGACAACAGTCTAATCAACAAAAAGTAAGAGAATAGCAGCTCATAGATGCCAAAATTGCCTTGAGTTTAAATTTTGTTGTTGATTCTCGCACATGAGTGAATACCCCCGATAATAAGAAAACAAATCGACTGCACTTGCTTCTGATCATACATCCGACAAATTTTGGCTTTTTCCCGCTATTGTAGAGAATAGTGTGCTGGCTCGCATAAGGTTCGCCAGCAAAAAGCGTGATATACTGATGAGAGGGGAAACACAGCGGGCAAAAGAAGAATATTAACTATGCTTACCTGGCTTGCAAAGAGGAGCGCACTCCGCAGAACAACCCTGTGCGGCGCAGGGATCAGTGGGATATCCCCCATATCCAGTACTGTATGGGTTAGCTGAATACTGAGGATAAACTGGAGCTTGATTAACGGGAAAACAGCATCCTGCGTCGCAGCTAGGATAACAAGTAGATGGGCAACCCGTAGGGCACGCCGGAGGTGGAGGGGGAGGAGGGGGTAGGGAGGCTTGGTAACTGACAAGTTGGGGAAACATGTCCGGGGTGTAATTCGGGGCCCCGGGTGCACAGCAGCTTCTTTTACAGGAGGAAAGACAGAACCTCCTGCAACCCGGATGACACTCCCAGGCGGATCCTACGATAGAAAATAATATTTGAAGACAGTCAACCTTTTGCTTCTAAAGCTTAAATGACATGACCCTGGGTATCTGAGACCTTTCATGCCTGGTTTCTGGTTTCAGTCAACTCTTTAAAGAGATCAGTCGGCCCGCGGTCGACCACGACGAATTCCCCGCTCGCAAGGAAAAAACCTCTTATACCTAGGTCAAATACCATCAATAATCTCCGTCCTTACTACTAGCCAGTAGCATTGTATTATCTTAATAATCACAACATACAGTCTTGATTAGTGACAATTGTCTACAAACTTTACAAGAAAGCTATTTGTAGGCAGATGAGGTGCAGGATACTGTGGAAAAAAGCTAACGCTGGATTGAGCACGAAGTTCGGCGAGAAGGGAGAGGTTGGCGGCCTTTTTTCGCTTTCCACCATCAGCCCCTCGCCCTCTCTTATCAGTTCACGGCCTCGTTTATCAAAAAAAATTCATAAGAAAAAAGAGGGCTGCTACCGGTCTAAGGGCTATCGCGGGTACAAATATTTAACTGATTTAGAAAAAAGTGTCATTAAGGGTAACGTAACTCACTTTGGACGGGATTCACAACTACTACCGACTTTCTACCACCATGACCTGGAGGGGAAAAAATATAAAATGTATGGATCAAAAATCTTAGAAGTACCGTGCTCTTTGAACAATGTTCAGACGAGATTTTAAACATTGCACAAATTCCCTTACCAGTCTTGTGCTTTAAACTATTTGCAACCGAGACCAGTGCTAGAACACAACAAAATATCACAGCCGACTTCATGGCCACTGGCGTCACCCTTCCACCTAGGAAAAAAAAGGCAAAAACATTTTGTATTCATAAAAATTCCTCTTAGGCCTGTGGTTACCTGTAGGCTCTTTTGGGCAGTCGTTCAGAGGCGGATAAGTACCCTATACCCTCTCTGCTTGACGCTGGTATTTACAGTCATGTTTGCTCTGTCTTCTGTAGCCTGATTCTCAGTGGACGATACGAGATCGCTCATTTTAAGCTTAAGTTTGAGCGAGCGAACTCAGGCAAATAAGCTGACTGGCTTCGTTTGATTTACCTGCACATGAAACCTTTGGACAAGCGGCCATCACTCTGACGTCAGTTTCACTGCGCTTAATCGCAACTTCGCCCCAGTCTCTCTCTTATTATTTAGGTCAACAATGACAGGGACAGAGACCCTGGGAACGAGATTGGCTTTTTAGTTGAGCCTGAACTACTTAATTTTCCTCATTGAATTATTTCAAAGGGGTTCTAGTCACAATAGCCCGTGAACGGGTTCTTTAGTGCTTGTTTGTCATCCTTTACTTCACTCAACTGAGTCACATCTTGAGAAATTTGATTTTTAAAGTCGCAACTTTCTATTTACAAACGGCACGCGTATATTTACAAATATCTCTCCTGCTGACGTTCAAAATTCAAGAAAAAATTCTAAGAGCTAGCCCCAGTTGTTCAAAAGGAGGATGATGGTATCCTGTGGATGTATCTCTACCCAGTGCCGACTGAGGAACCCAATTGTTTTCTCTAACACTTATCCGCTGGATAGTGATATATCTAGTGGATAGCGCTATTCAACATTTGAACAACCAGGGCCGGGTTATTCAAATACTGCGCAAGCCTAAGCGCAAGTAAAAAACAAACGCAGACTGGACGCAGTTTAATTAGAGCTAATTTTACAAGGATTTTCACTAAGACCTATCAGAAAAGTGACTGTTTTCAGTCATGTTGCATTATCGCGTCAGGTCAAGAGACCATCCAGCCCCAACTTAAAGGACACCAGGAAACACAAAACGAGAGTCGAATCTAAATACAGGAATAGAAACAAGCGGTATAAAATGACGTTTAGTTTACTTGATACTTATACAATCTACTGATTTTAAAGATCCTTTCCTCTCTCGTCCTTTAAGAGATCAAGCCGAACAATAAAGGGAGTAATCTCCCCCAAAACTTGTTGGCAAAAGACAGACAGCAATCTTTACAAGTCTTCCCACTATCAGTCTATAATATAAGGCAGTTAAATTGAACTTTTCCCGCTTGCTATGCACCACATCCTTGTAACAAGATCATTGCAACTACACTGCCCCAAGCTGTTAGATAAGAAATAGTATTTCCTGTTTATAAACCTATTCTATGACTCGGCAGGTTGTTCGCCGTAAATGACTTATTGTTTTAGACTCTCCGCATCTTTGCTAAATTTGATAAGATTTTTTTCCTTACAAATAATCTGTGAACTTGAATATTATGGCGCATCTCGATAAGCAACCACGCGTAGCATCGAAATTGTTGCGATGGCACCACAGAATAATTTCATATGTGGAAAAACGTATCACAAAGCTTTCTTTGTGATTATTGCTGGTAATCGCAATAATAGTTTAGTCTTTCTACGCATTCTTTTAGCGCGCTTTGTTTTTTCATCTAAATTTGATCTGTCTTTGCGCTTGTTACTTGCCTTGGTCAAAGAAACGATATCTTTTCTAGTCTTCCTTACATCGCAATAGCTAGCCTTTGAATTAAGAGCCAGACGTAATAGAATTTCTATCTTACAAAAGCCTACCATGTGACTGACCCTATTGTTATAGTTATAAGGGGATACTTGTAAAACCATCCACTTTTCTCGACTTCCCAAAAAGAATTTTGACGAGCGTTTCTGAGATTATTTTTCTCAAAGTAAATTAAGGTTCCTTTAGATGAAACAAACAGAACTTACCCTTGCGATATGTTTTCAGCGCACACAGGCTATGGGCTTTCACCTGCTTACGGGTAAATATTTTACCGTATCGTATAGTGAAGCCACGGGACTGTTTTTACATGAAATATTCAGAAGTTAAAACAGCTAAATGGTTATTACACTTTATTTCACACTTTCAGTGGCATTTCTTGATAAACTGCTGGTCCATTAACCCCTCCGAGTGTTTGAAAATCTATGAAATGATTCGAGAAAGACAGTTTTAGTGCACTAAGTTACCACTTTTACAGATGATGTAGCCCTTCGCGGGAGACGCCGGGAAAACATGTTATTATTTGCCAGTAAAGTGGCAGATTAAATTCATGCATTACCTCATAAGGCGAGCATCTATAAAAAACGGGTCCATAATGCTTTTCAAACCCGAATAGAAACAAAGTGAATCAAATTCATTGGCTATGAAAAAATGACAACTTTCTCAATCAGGATGTCAGTGACGTTCAGTAATTCTCCCGTCCCACCCTCCCTTCACGTCCCCCAGCAGGTTAAAGTACACAACCTGCTGTTTACAAACTTTCTTTTTCTTTCGCCGTTTAACCAATCAAATCACATTACTGTTGGATTGTAAGATCAGAGACATTAGCCATCTCGAGTTAAAACACTACAGTCAAACACGCGGTACCTCTACTTTAGGTCAATTCTGTAGCACCAAGACATTTATGAACACATTCTGTTTATAGTTCTGTAAGGAGAGTTCTCCATGGCCGGCCTGAAGATATTAAACTATAATCTCTTCCTCTATAATGCAGACACTTGCACTCTATGATGCAGAAACTTGAGGGTAGCGTTTACACTATGATGTATATTGGACTCTCAGACTAAAAAAAATACGCAAGGGGAAAGCAAGACACGAACACTGCAGAGTTTGAATTTCAATTTTTTTCAGAATTCTTAAATACAGACAAAATGATCCTTAACGGTCACACAGTTACACTAGCGAGATTGCAAAAAAATCACTATCGATAGGGAAAGCACGTGCAGCGTTCGAGCAACCAGCACTTGTTATGACTGTCAGTTTTCCGTCAGTTTCTCTTTAGGTGTCATACAGCATCTAAACTCACAGGAAGGCAGGCAGGCTTTTTGGCAACTCACTTTACACACGCCTCTGTTCTTGTTCTTGGCTGTTATATTTTTCTTCTTGGTAAGTTTCTTGGCTACGGTTTTCTTTTTCTTTGCATGTTTTTTGATAGCGCTCTTTTTTCTTGCATATCCAGTGTGAGGTTGTTTCTCGAGCCTTTTCGCCACCTTTCTTGGAACTGCGTAAGGTGGTGCTATGCAGCAGACCAGGTTGCATGTAGGCAGGCATCGTCGTCTACAAACTGGTTTACAAGACCCCCATGACTTTGATCCTATAAAACAACTCATAATATTAAGATCTTTCTATGAGCTTCATGTAAATTCATAACATTCATCCTCAGTCCTTCAAACGCCAAGTTGGAACATTTTTTCCTGGACTGCTTGGGTGGCAGTTTACACTATATGAAGTAAAATGTAGCCCCAATATGTGAATGTGTTTTTGAGACAGACCGTCACAAAAGCGACTATGCCCGCTAAGTACCCTTGACGAACATTGCGTCCGATCTTGATCAACCCAAAGAATTTTTGTAGCGAAGCTCTTGCAGAAGAGCACCATGGGTAAGAAAATTTGGTTATCTATGCATCCGAGAAAGTTTGGTAGTGACTTTTAGTCAAGTGACTGTGCGCCCGCCCGTCCTCACCACGCATACCAATGCGAAATAACTCAATCAACAGGTATGCCAACCCAAACGCAACGTCTTATTTCTGCTCCCGTCCTGTTGCGTAAGCTCACTAATAATTACTGACCATGATATTTAAGGCAATAATTACTGACCATGATCTGATTTAAGGCAATAATTACTGACCATGATATTTAAGGCAATAATTACTGACCATGATATTTAAGGCAATAATTACTGACCATGATATTTAAGGCAATAATTACTGACGATGATAGTTAAGGCAATAATTACTGACCATGATATTTAAGGCAATAATTACTGACCATGATATTTAAGGCAATTTAGCGAGGTTGCATTCAGTTCAGAACTTACGTTTTCCTCTTATGTATGAAGCCTCCAGTCCTCTATCGGTTCCTTTTTCTGGCTGTCGAATCACATCAACTAGTATACCCTTGTTATTTACAGAGGCTTTTCCTCTTTCATCTTTGAGGTCTGGGGTAGATTCGGACGGTAGGACCGTAAGGTATGGACCAATAAGTACTACCAAACAAAGGCCTGCCAGAGTAGCCATTCTATGAGAAGTATAGACAGGTTACTAAATTGTAAAGCAAAAACGGTTAGCATTTCCCGGTTAAATCTCTCTTGGCGGAGACCTCTATGAGAAAACAGTTACTGGACTGGTGAATGCCATTCCTTAGTAATGCTTTCTTCGACTCCCTGTTATGGAGGGGGCGGAGGTTACACATTATAATTATGCACCAAGGCAACCTAAATGGTCAATACTACATTAAGGGAAGTTTCGGCTTAGGTGGGAAAGTATTGGTTAACTAATTGTTGAAGTATTGCTACATCTTAGTCACTTTTCACCTTTTCGTTTTGCATTCAAGTATCGAGAAATTCGGACTTTTAGCTTTGATGGATTTTCGACTTGGTTTGATTTACTATCCACTTAAGGGGGAAGGTGAGAAGTGGGTTAGCTTTTCCGCTTACAAGAGATGTGAAATTACCGGGAAAGCCGTTTGGTATCCATTTGCGCAGGGTGGTATCCCTAAGAGGAGGCGCTAAAATCCTAGGTTTATCTAGTTGCCACGGTAACTAACCCTAAATTGGTGCTTATCGTCCTTCAAGCAACCCGGCCACTGCCATGATATTGAAGAGTTCGAACAAGTTTATTATACTGAACCGTCGAGAGAATATCTCACATCTCTGCACTGCACTGGGAACTCAGTTTCCAAGCATATACGACCCCAACTGACTGACAGACTGCCTTTTGCATTGGCTCAGAACCCATAAACAACACAACTCTGAAACAATTGTTTATCCACATTTAGATTGCCCTAGTGTCATTAAATCAATAAAACTCCAATGCCTTTTTTTGTTTATTAGTTTCCTTTCTGTTGTACCGAGGGTCTTTTAACCTGAAGAATGTCCCGAGAAAATCTGATTCGCTAGATCCGTATATGATCCGCAACACTGTGTCCGTGATTCAGTATTGCCACGGATGGGTTAAACCCGGCATGAAAGTAAGCTTATTCTCTGCTACTGCACTTATAAACGCAGTTCTTGCTGACAGAAAAATCATTTGAAAATAAAAATCTCTGTGTTTAATGAAAAGCGACGGACATGTCTCGATGACTGCAGCAGTATCGAATGCAAATAAAATTGAGATTTAACAAGAGTCGGTGTTACCTCAAATCCAGTTAACTTCCGCGGAATTTGTAGTGAACGTCGGATTGATGCCTAGGTACTCCTGATTGACCAGCACGTCCTTCTATCGAATAAATCTTCACTGAACTCGTTTCATCGAGATGATCATGAAAGTTCGCTTGAGTTCATAGGTTTATGTAAAGAAAAAAGACCACAGGATTCCAAATCACAAAAAGGTAGGAACAATTTGATTGGTTAAGAAATTAAAACAAGTTAAAAAAAAACTTTTGCGATTTTGACAGGTTGCTCAAAATAAAAAGGGCAATCTCTGCAATGTGCCTTTTTCAGTAATAAAGGAAAGGGATACGAGGAATAAAAAAACGGAAACTCGCGAGGTCTTTTATAATCATCTGAGAACCTGTCAAAAACAGGATAACAGTTTAAAAGTGCAAAGAAACTCTTCAAAATTTGAATTTGGCCATGACGGGTAACCCGTGAAACACAACAGGTATTCTCACACTGCGTTGGAAACACTGAAAACCGTTTAAAGCTCTACAGTTACCGACAACAAACACGGACTTTGTTTGTAAACCCATCGGAGTATTCGCGTTCTACTAATGTTTTTGACAGTGCATGCAAATTAGCCACTATTTAAAGGACTAATGGAAGCCCAGAGACTTGATATATTTTTGCATTCATTCCGCCGTTCTATTCAAAGCGACGTTAAATGATCTAAAATTTGAGTTTTGTGGAGAATTTGACCACTCCGCGACGGTTTAAGCAGCTACAAATCCGTTGCTAAGATTTTAGGCATTATGGACTTGCTTCTTTTGCCAGATCAGAATCGCATTTTTGAGACTTTTCTAAAAAAAAAAAAACACTGTAAAAAAAAAGCAAAAAATAGAAAACAACAACAACAACAACAACGATTTGAACTGGAGCGACGATAGTTTTCTCAAGAAACTTTAAGAATTTCATCACATAAGTTAGTTTAAAACTTCTGAAGGCCAGTCAGCTTAGGGAGGTACTGAGCCAGTCAGGTCCATTACCCAAAGCTAGAGTGGGATGGTTGGGAGTTTCTTTTATGCTCAAAAGCATTGCATACCAATGAAAACACTATAGTATTAAATAAAAGTTTCGAAGCATATTTATTCACCTTGTTTTCTGTATTAATATAAGAAGGAATCAGTTGTTCATCAAAAGCTATTTTATCACTCAGGACAGTCATCTTCACGTAATGTGACTGAAGTAACAGTATTCCAGAAACCATTTTTTTACAGTACGTAAATGTTGTAAGCAATGATTTTTCCCAGCCTCTTTACTAGTGTACTAAATCAAACATGTCCTGGTATGACAGACGCTTTATTTGCGTCGAAAGGTACAAGTCTTACTTACTTTAAATTAAAAAAAAAACATACAGGAAGTCATCAATGTAAAGCACCACTGGTAAATGAGGGTAGTGACACTTTTTCGTTCCCTTTAGATTTTTGTAGAGTAAACAATGAAATTACGGCAAAATCTAGAATCGAAGCAGCTAGGCTAAGATCGTTTCACGGCGAATCCTGATCAGATTTGTTCCAATTCACTTTCCAATTTTCCAACTGATTAAGCAGTTATTGCAACAGCCGTGTGCAGTTTGGCATCATGGGTGTGGTCATCATAGTACGGATCTCTTGCTTTAATACTCCTAAAAATTTACAAATGTAGGATTTGAAGTACTAGAGAGTTGTAGCTAGCCTGCGAGCAAGCTCTCCTATTTGGGCAAGCGAAGCGAGGGCCCTGATCGCGAGCGAGCCCCTGCCCCTCGCGGCTTCGCCGCTCGCTCGCGCGTTCTCGCGAGACTCGTTTCACTCGCCCACATAGGAGAGCTTGCTCGCAGGCTAAGTTGTAGCCTGTTCCAGGCTTCAAGATAGCTTGAATGCGCAGCCGTGCAGTAAAAAGGTAAAAAATGAAAGCGAAAAATGCACGGGGGCTGGGGAGAGAGACCTCTTTACCGGATCACCCTTTTTTTTCTAATTTTTGCTTTTCTGTTTTATTTCCTACTACACTGTATCTGCAAAGAGCCTGGCAAAGGACGAAAAATAAAAGGTTACATGCAAGAACAGAAAGTGGCGAGAAAGCCTGAAAAGAAACCTTAAATCTTAAAACAGGCCTCCCACAAAACAGAACACAAGAAATTTACAATTACAATACAGGAATACAATGGTACCATACAGTTACTAGAGGCAGAGTTTTTACGCCAGCTAAAATGTATCACTAGATCTATCAAAGCAATGAATGTGATTATCATACCTGGCTACATAAGGTTTCTGCCAGCGTAGTTCGGCTGTAGTGTTGATATCAGGGCCCATTGTGTGCACACTGGTTCCTTTTGTGAAACCATTTGGTAGCTGAGTGAACACATTGCCCTCAGTGCGACCCATCTTGTCATCGCCTCGTGGATTCATGTTATAGTGTCTATTTAAAAACAAAATTAGATATCGCCATAGGAATAGTGTCACTTAAGCGGTTCAAAGGTTTTTCAAGTAAGTTGCTGGGAAATAATCAGTGGAGCCCCTTAGTTTTCTCCCAACTGGCAAACAGACAAGTATACTAAACGCACGGAGAGTGTAATGCCAAGTACACATATTTTTCACCTCTATAAGTCGCCTCGCGCCTCTTCGCTTTAATACATGCCCTGCCTTGAAAACCGATTTTGTGAAAAAAAATCGAATATTTTGCATTCAGTCTGGCGAAAGAGGCAAAGGAGTAAGTAGGTTCTCTTGCAATTTTAATGAACTCATGTTTTATCATCCTCTAAATTATAAATACTTACTTGGCATTGTAGTGAGTTTCAAATCTTCTTAGTGAGTCCGCAGTCTCCGCTGTCTCAAAGTATTGGTCGTTATTTTCACTGTACCCAGTTAGTTCCTAAAATATTCAAGCAAGTAAAGTTGAAGTCTGTTAGGGAATTTTAAGGACTCGTCACTAAGAGGTTCATAACATCTCCTTTAATACAGATTTTGAAACTGTACGCCCGGATATGTTACAAGATGAAGTGATGCGGCAAGCAATGAGCAAGATATCCACCATTTACTATTGATGCGCTACTGCCCTTTTCATTTAATTTTGTTGTTATTATTATTTTTTTATCTAGCAAACTCATGGTAGAATTTAGTCTGTCGAGTGTTAGTGTTTCGGTAGTAATTTTCAGTTTTCAGTAAAAAGAACTAGCTTAATGAAGCTTGTTAAAGCCTCCAAAGCTGAGCTTGCATATCTGGGAAATGATTTCCTAGGCAATGACTGAGTACTCTTTTTAATCATACTTGTCGCTAATTGACCTAATTTATTGGGAACGATGTTTATTCGGTGAGTGACATAGGCGATTCGGAGAGGAAAAAGCCAGGTTTCTCTTAACTGGAGTGGAACCTATGACCTTCTGCTCTACCATTGAGCTGCAAGAGACTCGCAGAAGGTAAGCCCATTAAACGAGGCTGACGTGACAAACATGTACATCCTGCCTGTATGTCTGTTTTTCTTGGCATGTCTGTAATTTAGCTAATTAGCTAAGAAGATTGACCACGTTAAATAAAGAGTATTGTGTGCCTAAATGCAAAATCATTATTGCACCCATTTTCTATCGGGGTTTGTTGGGAGAAGTGAGAACTGGGCCTTTTTACGCCCCTCTCAATTTCTGAAAGAAAACTTACTTACCTTTGTTCCAGTGGAAACGTTACCCAGTCTTTCCGCTTCAGTTGGATCATTTCTCTGTTTGCCTTTAAATGATAGCTTGGCAATGCTAAAGAAAAGAAAACATGATATTTCAGCTACCTTGTCGCGATAGTATAGTATTCATCTATTCCACAATTATTCCACGAGCTCACGGGTGCCCGCATTGCGTTAAGGAGGTACAGAAAAATAGATATCAAATTGAATACATGTGGTGTTTCTCTTGGCCCCTGCCAAGCGGTTCTTTTTGTTTGTATGCGGGTAAGGCTGAGCAAAAGGAATGTATTTGTTTGAGTAACGAACCAAAGCAATCTGACAACCCCCTTAAGCGCCTTACGCGCCACGAAGCCGTTAGAGATTGGGGACGAGATTATTTTCGCGCGACTTTTCCCGCCCAGTCTCTCGCCATAAAATGGCGGATAAATATGAAGTTCAGATCCTTTTCTGGTCAAGATTGCAAAGCTAGTATTTTAACCAATATTGCGACCACGGCAAAAGATAACTGACTGAATTACTTGTAGGAAGACACAATTTTCATACAATCAACTTCACTTGTACCTGGAGAAAGTGTGTGGGTTCGTCATGTTGGAATATTCAGCCGGATCCATCTTCTTTATTCGCTCCTGGGCTCGAGGATGGACATCGCCGAGTTTAGTGTATTCCTGAAAAGAACAATGAAGTGAAGAAATCCAGTGACGGTAAGTTTCATCGGGAAGGTGCAAGTTTTTTATCCGCATTCTTTCTCTAAGGATGCAGCACTGATTTTCGCTGGTGATAGGGATGTAGTTGTTGTTATTGTTGTTTTTGTTTTGGAAGGAGCGCGGTTTGAACACTCGGAGGTACTCAACAAATGTTTATACGGGGAGGCTCCGCCCCGAGGTCCAACCCCTTACCCTTTTATAAACCATTTCTCACGAACAAGGTACCCTTTAGAATACCTTCTATTGACAAATGGTACCCCTTTTACATACCTTGTTCAGAACTTTGCATCCCTTTTAACTGCTGTAAATGCACTGTCGTTTAAATAGGAATCAATCACAAAAACAGAATGTTTTCTCGTCTTTATAAAGCCATAAAATTCATCTGTTAGCCCTTTTGGGCCCTTCCACAACCCAAATCACAGATTTTCCTACCTTTTTATATACTTCAGCTTAAGAGAAATCCCTACCCTTTTATATACCTGAAGTCTGAAAAAGATACCCTTTTCCAGTGGAGCCCCCCTGTATAGCATATAGGCCATCATAGGAACGGGGGGGGGGGACTCCGCATATGAAAGGGGTGGGGATGCTTGTCGTCTCACTTAGAGGTGTAAATTTCGGATTTTGGTCTCACTTAGGGTGTTCTGGGCAAAACGCCATCATGTTTAGCCATGAAGGTCTTGTTTAGGATTGAACGCGAAATGAGATTAAAATATATTTATTGGCTGTGTCTTAACATGGTCTCTTTTAGGGGTCCAAAAAGGCTTGGGGCACGCCCTGATCGGTCGCCTTTAGGGGTTTAATTCAAAATTTCCGACAAGCATCCCCACCCATTTCATATGCGGAGTACCCCCCCAGGTTTGAAGAAAGAATGACCATATTCAGAGCCTGCTAGAAATATTTGCAGAGTAAAATGCGAGTTAAAATTTGAACGTTGCCGCAAGAAATTAACAAATCAAGACTTACTGTACATGTACTAGATACCAGAAACAAAAATTTTTCTTTCTCCATTACCATTTGTCTCCAACACAGCCGCGTCCTCCATTTGATGGCTGATTACACAAGAGGAATCTATAAGTATGTCCAGGAGACTACTCTAAAATTACATCATGAACAATACCCTTATAATGGACCTCACCTGTCCTACTTTTGAATAGAAAACTGGTCTTGCTTTTGTGCCATGAGTAAATCCTGTATTTCTTTCTGATCCATGAGACAAAACAGGAAGATGCTCATTTCCCTTTAGAAGTGATATTCAAGTTATAAAGAGAATGTCAATGATTTTTTATTTTGTTTTACTATTATTGTTAGTTTTTAAAAAGAAATACTTTGTAGCATTGCTTAAACACAATAGCCTGGCCTTCAATCACTCTACCACGGGCTTGTCTGTCAAAACTTGAAAGACCAACATAAAAAAGTAGTAAGTAAATTTGTGGTTGTCCTTTAAAATCTTAGATCCACTCAATCCTTGGATACTAACAACTGTAAGCTTTCTTAAGTACATGTACAAAGGACCTTGATAAAAACAAAACAATTGCAGTATTTGGCTAAAAAATTATTGAATGCACACTACTTGGGTCAAATCTGTGCTGGACATAACGCATTGTAATGTTTTTAACATATTGCATACAGCTTGACATACATGAAGATATTCCACTGGCAGGAAATCCCTCTTCATGATACTAGATCCAGTTGGCCTATAAGTCCATTGTGGCTGAAAATCAAACATTACCATCAAAGAAATGTCTTGATAAAGGAACAATTAGTTATTTCTTCTATCCTTTTCTAACACTCTAATGCACATGTTTTAGTTCTAATTTTTTAGCTCAGGTAATTTTGATTTTTCCTTTGTTTCAACTTCATAAGTATACATTAATTTTACCATACCCAAAAACAAAGGAAAAAGAAAAATTACTTGCAATAAAAAATTAACCGCAACATACAATAATTATTACTTTTCCCCAGTTTTTTTGGGAGAGGTTCTTTTTAATTAAGTTACAGACTTTAATCTCCTAGATAATATGGCTAACTTGACTTTCTCGCCCTCTATATTTGTTATACATCCATTTCAGCCAGTCTGTACTTTTCTTAACATTGGATTTATGCTAATGTATTTCAAACAACTTGGCTCTGAGATCTATAATATTTATTATAAGGCTTACTGCTCCACAGAGCCTGTTGAGTAAAATTTAAATGTTAAATCAGGGAAACAATGAAGATAAACAATGTTAAGAAAATCACTTAAAGTGAACAATGCATGGAGATCATGCAAATCTCGGGAAAAATCTTATCTTTTGGGGCTTTTTAATGTAAAATTTTGATCTTAAATATTATTTGTTAATTTATTGAAGTTGATAATACCATTACAATTCAATGAGTCTTAAATTAGAGAGCATGATCAATTTCCTACATCTCTTATTCCCTCATGAGCTTCCATTGGGTAAAAAGTGATTGGTTCATCATTGTAAGCATGTGTGAAACCTGAGCCTTCCTTGTAACCAACAGTTTTTGTTGAGGTATCCACTAAAAGTAAAAAAATATGTAGTGAAACCATTATAATGACATCATCAAGTTACACAAATCATACAATGTACCTGTACAATTCAAAATATTACAAAACAAAGCCCATTAAAAGTTTCTGATTCATTCAGTTATTATTTTCATTTGGCGAGAGTACTTGTAAATACTGCTAGGCTCTTTGAACAATTACTGATACCACATAACCAGGCAATGTAAACTGCCTTTCACACGTGTGTTTTAAGCTATAATAACATGTACCTTACATGATTACATTATTATAATTTCATTATTGTTATTAATTAACATTTATTACCACTTTTTTGTGCAAAAATAAATCAGAAGTACTTGTACATTTTCTTTGAAGTAAATACATAAAGGTACACTGTACAATTATTTTGAATAAATGTGTTTTTCATTTTCTTTTCTTGATTTTATTAATTAATTTCTATTTGTGGTACTTACTTCGCTGACTAGGAATTCCTAGAAAGTTTGTATGGTTTTCAGTTGACATATAGCTTGGCCCCTAAACGAAGGAAATTAAAAGTATGATCATTTCTATCGAAAATGAAGAAATTTACAAATGCATGCTACATGTAAATTAATAACAGGTATAGTTATAAATTAATTTTAGTTGGAATATGAGTCAGAGATACATTTTTACATTTCACATACGTTGTGTGTGGTACTTAGCAGCTTCTTATAATATCAGGACAACGAGTGATCAACCACATGGAAAAGGAATCAAAAAAGGTAATTATATATAGACACCTTGTAATAGGGCTACCACCTTGTCTTTTTGTGCAGGTTTAAGTTACATGTCAGTCAAGTCTTGCCTTAATATGGAGACCTAGCAAATGTAGACAGCTGCTAAATGGCTAGCAAAAAATATAGAGTTTGACTGAAACACTCCCATTATTGCAAATTCTCGCTTTTAAATATGGACTTACATGTACCCGCCTGCCTGTAAGTTTTTTAACCTGTCAGCGCTTAATTTTATTGTTCCATATTCCTCTTGTTCCAAAAGACAGCAGGATTTTTTTCTGATCTTCTGTTTTTACCAAAGTCATTACCTTTTTAGTAAGGTTAGCATTACTTTTTCTGTTGCGTGCATATGTATCAATAGTTATTATTTAAACTGATCCTTAACATTCATTCTTCTCCTGACCTGTCTTAAGACCAACTTTCCCGTCTCAATCTGTTATTAGAGAGATTAAGATTCACGTTTACGCCAAACGGCAAACGTGAATTTGTACCACGTGACCAAGTTTTCCCCCTTATTTTTCGTTTATTGTTTATTGCTTCTACACAAAAATAAGTAGTTTTATGCCAGTTTTATCCACAAGAATCGTTCTGGACTGTTTTTATCTGCTTATTTTCTATCCTGAGAAATTTTCAACTGACGTTTGCCGTTTGCCGTATGCCGTAAACGTGAATCTTAATCTCTCTAGTCTTAAGACCAGTCTGTCTTAAGACCAACTTTCCAGTCTCAATACCAGTTTGTCCGGCAAATAGTTATTTTCTGTGCTAGACTTGGTTCATTCTACAGTCAGACTAAATATTAAGACATGATATCTTTATAAAGCAAATATTTTGAATGAAATTTCTTCCAGCTGCACCCCTCTAAACTGATCTCTTGTTAGTATTAAAGGACACTAACTTGCAGTGGTCCAAGGGGTATCGCAATAATGGAAGTTGTCTGTTCATGTACTTGAACTTTACTCCAGAAATAATGTATGACAAGTACTTACATGGAAAGCATTTTCCCTGCCGATTGGATCCTTGGCTTTGAGCGTGTGCAACAATGGACGATGGAATGGATAAACTGTGCCCTTAGCTTTGGTGTCAATATGAACATCCCTCACCTACATGGATTGGATATTAAATTGCAAAGTGTTCGCACAAAAAATACCTTATCTATTTAGCTTGAGAAACTTGAGTCAATAACAAAACTTATAATGCACTGGATCAAATCAACTCTGGCCTGTAACTCACTAAGTTAGGGATAGGGTTACAGAGGTTGATACTATGTTAAAACATACATTGTCTGGAGTATAGCTGTGTTAAACTGTGATTGCCCTACAAAAAATACAGCAGTAAAATTTTTATTATATTAAATGGAAAATGTAGGGGCTAAATAGATTCCTGAAACATATTACTTTTGCTAACCTGTCTTGATCGCGGAATGGTGACAGGAATGTCTTTGACAAAACCACTTGTTGCTGTCATATACAGCCCTCTAGAGAAGGGGTCAGTGCTACTTGATCCTTTTGACGGCAAAAAGTGCTTCTTAGTAATGGATGAATAGTTGTCTGTTAAGAGACGACTGCAAGACAACAACAAAAATGCCAGTAGAGTATATTATGCTGGTACAGTTGAGAATTTTGATGCGCTTGATGCAAACTAGCTAGTTGGTTACATGATGGTATTGTCCACTCTCCCCAGTCCAAGATCAACAGTTTTAGGACTGGCACTTAAAGGGTTTGTCTAAGAGTGACACAAATAATTCTGCCCCTGCTGTATCCTATGCAACAAACAAAAATGTGCATGCATACACCTGTACAATGATATTTTGTCAATGTATTTACCATCAACAGAGCAATTTTTTGGCTGTTGTAAATACAAGAATGTATGCATAACCTACCCCATTGCTGGGTTGTCAAGCTCATCCAGACGTCGACTGTAATACACCCCTGGTCTAAAATTAGATTGATATCCTGTGCCATAATGGCGTCCAGTCCTTGGAATGAAACCTTCCTTTCCATAATGAGTAGAATACTCTGTGCAATAGAACTTCATAACTCCCACATCAGCACCCTTGCTCTGTAATATGTGGGCATTTCCTGGCCCATAGGGGAGGCGTCCCATTGTTGCCTACAGTACTGAAAGTGCTTTAAAAAAAATGAGGGCTGTCACTAAGATTTGAAATTTCAGGGTATATGCAATACCCCACTTTACGTTAAATTCTAACGTGACTCCAAGGCTTTCTAGTCACATTTCTATATTTGGTTTGGTTTTCTTGGTTCTTAGGTCTGATTTCTTGGAGTTGCCAGACAATAGAGTCATGAAAAATGTGCAATTTTGTCCCTTGAGCCTAAGAGTCATGTTAGAATTTTAATATATCGAACATGGGCTATTAGTAGGCGGTTTTATTTTCGTTTTGGTTCCTAGGCAGAGACAGTGGGGGAACATACTCATGGAAGCCAAGGGAGATCCCAAGCCCTTATTAAGTGATAGCACTGGGGAGTTCATGTGGTGAGGACGCCATAATAGCATTCACTAATAAATATTATCGCCTATGCAGTCTCCAGTACTTCTTTCAATTCAGGTTAATTTTATTCATTTTCAATGAAGTTGCTTTGGAAACAAGACCTTTACAAAGGATGTTTTTGATGCATAAATTAACCATTTACATGTCAACAAGGACTTGAGCATTCATTAGTTACTACAGTGACCTTTAAATTTTGGTCTCGATGCTCAAAAGAAACAAAAGTGAAAGAAATAGTCGAAAATAATAAATATAAGGCGTCTTCTTTCTCATAATTAAGGACATTGGAATTTCTACTACTTTGATCTTAAAGCATTGACCACTTTTACTCTATTGTGTAAGTTGACTCCGTGGCATGAAGTTCCAAGGTATAAGCTAAACTTCCTTGAGCGTTCTGTTCGCTGTTTACTTAACGTTATTTTACTTTTCATTTGAGCCCTCGGAGACTTTCTTTTCTTGTTACTGTTGTGCAGAGAAACCACGTCAGTATTACTCTTCGATAGCTGGAGATATATATTTCCTTTTTTCCGCTAAGTGTTCTTCGCTCGTATTCGCACGAGATGTTTATACGAAGATTGCTTATACGATATTGTTTTAAAGCCTTGGTTAAAATATCTTTTACAGTGTACCTACCGATACGAACTCTTTAGTGGCAGTAATTGTTCAGCAAAATATGTTCCTTTCTTCGAGAATTTCTTTCTCATTCCAGACTACAACAACGCGGTTACCAAGGCAACTTTTTTATCGCCGCTGAACACGTGTAACGTAAGGCATGCGTAACGCACTGACTGTTAAAGGCACCCCGTAACGCAATTATTAAATTCGTCCACATTTTTTGAAATTGAAAAGAATTTCAATGGACTAGTTTTTCTTTTACAATAGGAACATTTTTGGCTTTACTTTCACTTTTGGACAACTTATGATGATGAAAGCGTTTGATTGGCGGAAAACTAGCCAGCTTGGTCGAGAACCGGAAAGAAACCAGTTTATTTTAAAGTAGACAGTCGACGGTAGCGTCTTTGTTTAATTTTTTTTCTCACTAACACACGCATTTCGTTTTCCATGGAATTACAAAATGCTGAATATTGAAGGGACATAATTATTTCTCACCGAAAATCAATCTAATTTAAGTTGGTTTATATACTTTAGTTTTATGCCAGTTTTATCCACAAGAATCGTTCTGGACTGTTTTTATCTGCTTATTTTCTATCCTGAGAAATTTTCAACTGACGTTTGCCGTTTGCCGTATGCCGTAAACGTGAATCTTAATCTCTCTAGTCTTAAGACCAGTCTGTCTTAAGACCAACTTTCCAGTCTCAATACCAGTTTGTCCGGCAAATAGTTATTTTCTGTGCTAGACTTGGTTCATTCTACAGTCAGACTAAATATTAAGACATGATATCTTTATAAAGCAAATATTTTGAATGAAATTTCTTCCAGCTGCACCCCTCTAAACTGATCTCTTGTTAGTATTAAAGGACACTAACTTGCAGTGGTCCAAGGGGTATCGCAATAATGGAAGTTGTCTGTTCATGTACTTGAACTTTACTCCAGAAATAATGTATGACAAGTACTTACATGGAAAGCATTTTCCCTGCCGATTGGATCCTTGGCTTTGAGCGTGTGCAACAATGGACGATGGAATGGATAAACTGTGCCCTTAGCTTTGGTGTCAATATGAACATCCCTCACCTACATGGATTGGATATTAAATTGCAAAGTGTTCGCACAAAAAATACCTTATCTATTTAGCTTGAGAAACTTGAGTCAATAACAAAACTTATAATGCACTGGATCAAATCAACTCTGGCCTGTAACTCACTAAGTTAGGGATAGGGTTACAGAGGTTGATACTATGTTAAAACATACATTGTCTGGAGTATAGCTGTGTTAAACTGTGATTGCCCTACAAAAAATACAGCAGTAAAATTTTTATTATATTAAATGGAAAATGTAGGGGCTAAATAGATTCCTGAAACATATTACTTTTGCTAACCTGTCTTGATCGCGGAATGGTGACAGGAATGTCTTTGACAAAACCACTTGTTGCTGTCATATACAGCCCTCTAGAGAAGGGGTCAGTGCTACTTGATCCTTTTGACGGCAAAAAGTGCTTCTTAGTAATGGATGAATAGTTGTCTGTTAAGAGACGACTGCAAGACAACAACAAAAATGCCAGTAGAGTATATTATGCTGGTACAGTTGAGAATTTTGATGCGCTTGATGCAAACTAGCTAGTTGGTTACATGATGGTATTGTCCACTCTCCCCAGTCCAAGATCAACAGTTTTAGGACTGGCACTTAAAGGGTTTGTCTAAGAGTGACACAAATAATTCTGCCCCTGCTGTATCCTATGCAACAAACAAAAATGTGCATGCATACACCTGTACAATGATATTTTGTCAATGTATTTACCATCAACAGAGCAATTTTTTGGCTGTTGTAAATACAAGAATGTATGCATAACCTACCCCATTGCTGGGTTGTCAAGCTCATCCAGACGTCGACTGTAATACACCCCTGGTCTAAAATTAGATTGATATCCTGTGCCATAATGGCGTCCAGTCCTTGGAATGAAACCTTCCTTTCCATAATGAGTAGAATACTCTGTGCAATAGAACTTCATAACTCCCACATCAGCACCCTTGCTCTGTAATATGTGGGCATTTCCTGGCCCATAGGGGAGGCGTCCCATTGTTGCCTACAGTACTGAAAGT